ATTTTCTTAGGAAGAGCTGATGAAGAATATGTTTTCTAATGGCTCATGTACTTTTCATCTTTATTAGAAGATACATTCTAAGAAGTGCAGAGTGTCAATTTTTTTCCCTCAAAACAACCCGAGGATATTGATCAATAGGAGTAACAGGATATATTTTTAAAAACATGAAGGTAGTTTTTATTTGGAAGGCTTACATTAAAATTGGAGCAAATTATCTACTTAGAAGAAGGTTGTGGCCAGCGCCGCGGCTCAATAGGCTAATCCTCCACCTGCGGCACCAGCACTCCGGGTTCTAGTCCTGGTCGGGGTGCCAGATTCTGTCCCGGTTGCCCCTCTTCCAGTCCAGCTCTCTGCTGTGGCCCGAGAAGGCAGTGGAGGAGGCCCAAGTGCTTGGGCCCTGCACCCGCATGGGAGACCAGGAGGAAGCACCTGGCTCCTGGCTTCGGATCAGCACGGTGCACCGGCCGCAGCGCGCTGGCCGCAGCAGCCATTGTGGGGTGAACCAACAGAAAAGGAAGACCTTTCTCTCTGTCTCTCTCTCACTGTCCACTCTGCCTGTCAAATAATAAATAAATAAATAAATAAATAAATAAAGAAGATTTTCTTAGAGTCATAGTAATTAAACTTTCATTTTAACAGAATGAGAATTAATCATTTTATACTCCCCAAAGGTAATTTACAGTGCTGGCCCCTTTTTGAAGCCCTTTAGAAGGAAATTAATATTTCTTGAGTATAAATATGCTATGCACACATTAAATTATCAATCAGTCTTGATGACAGCCCTCATAATTAGCCGTTATTGTTTGTTTCTATTTACAGGCGCAATAACTGACGATGATTTTTTTCAAAATTTATTTATTTTTTATTTATTTGAAAGGCAGAGTTACAGAGAGAGAGGCAGATACAGATAAACAAATTTACTATCTGCTGGTTCACTCCCCAGATGGTTGCAGCAGTCTGGGTTGGGCCAAACCAAACACAGGAGCCAGGAGCTTCATCTGGGTCTTCCACGTGGGTGCAGGGGCCCAAGTACTTGGAACATTTTCTGCTGCATTTCCAGGCATATTAGCAAGGAACTAGAATGGAAGTGGGGCAGCCAGGACTTGAACCGGCACCTATATGTTATTGCTAGCATAGCAGGCAGGACTTGGCCTATTACGCCACAACGTAGGTCCCAGAGGTTGAGTTTTAAAGCTTCATCCACATTTACCCACAGTATTCCTGCCACAACATGATGGAGTGAATGAAAAAATTCCAACCCCAGTGGACATGTATAAACCAGTGATAAAGTGAGAATTAATTTTCTGCTAAAAATCTATGCTTATATAAAAGATCAAGCATTTTGTACATTTAACTATCCAAGCTAGCATGTAGTAGTATTAATAAACTTAAAGTACATAATGATGGAGGCATAATGTTTCTTCAGATAAGTTAGCAATTTTTTACTGAAGGCAAACTCCTAAATTTTAGCCAAAGGTGTGGCAGAAACATTGTTTTGTTTTTAAACTTTAGAAAAGCTACTGAGGGATGAGCATTTGGCGCAATGATTAAGGTGCCTGCAGGGATGCCTGTGTCCCCTGTTAAAATGCCTGGGTTTGAGGCCCTGCTCCACTTCTGGCCCAGCATCCTGTGAATGCACACCCTGGGAAGCATCAGTGATGGCTCAAGTGCTTGGGTTCCTGCCATGTGGAGGACCTAAGTTAATCCTGGCTCCTGGCTTTGCCCTGGCCCAACTCCAGCTGTTGTGGGCACTTGGGGAATGAATCAGCAGATGGGGGCGGGGGAGCTCTCTGCCTTTCTAATAAATATAGATAAATATATTTTTAAATAAAAAGCTAAAAGTGAAACACCAGTAACAAAAATGTCAGGAAAATCAGGCAATTGAACATTTTTTTAGTCAAATGTCTTAAGTGGGTAGCATTCTTCATCTATTGTCCCAGTGCTTGTGAACAACCCAGTGGTTGTAGTTGATTGCTTATGTTACTTAGGGGTAAGAAAATTTATTATTTAATGTTCATTTGTAATTCCACTTCCTGAATGTAAAAATACTTTTTTAGTATTTGTCACAGTAGTGTTCTTAAAAATAAGGAAGAATTATGAGCTCATAAAAATATACTGAGATTCTGCTGTAAAATGTTTTACTATTGAGATGATAGCATACATATGAAGTTGATTGATGTCATTATGTAATAGTTCAAAATAAAAGATCGACATTGACTTAGTTTTCAGAAACTATGCAGTTTTGGCTCAGGTGAAGTGGTTTTAAGAGCATATTTTTTTCTCCACATTTAAAATCCATATCTCTGAAAAATGTCCATGTATGTAAACGTTTTGGTCTAAAAATAATTTAACAAAGATGAGATTGAAGACTTGCTCAGAGGGCTTGATAGTCATTATTGCTCAGAAAGTTAAGGTAACTAAAAGCCTGAACTAACCTTTAATAAACACCTGACTACTGAGTTCTTGCACACATGATATCTCAGCCTTATATATGCACATATATACATTATATATATGTATATATATATCCAAAATACACAGAGACAAGTACACATATGCACACACAGAGCAGCAGAGAGAGATAGAGGCTGAAGTCAGGGATCCACTCAATCTGGATTTTCCACATGGGTGGCAGGGACCCAGGTACTCGAGCCATCATTACTGCCTCTCACGGTTTGCATTAATAGGACTCTGGAATTGCAAATAGAGCCAGGACTCAAACCCAGGCACTCTGATATGGAAAGTAGGCATCCCAAGCAGCAGCACAACCATTGTGCACCAAACTCTAGCCCCTCCATTAATCTTAACAATTTTCTCTATGGCTGATACTGATACACTAACTTTACAGATAAATAACTTGCCAGTAGTTCTTATGACTTCTGGTGGAACCAGGATGAAACCTTTATGTTTTTCCGGTGAGTGCTACAATTAGCTCACTGTCAATCTGACTTTTTGGCTCTGACAAAGTAGGAAAAGTTGATTCTTTTATGATCTCACTGTACTAAACAGTTTATTAATATTAAACTTACATTTATTTGAAACAGTCAATCTTCATTATTTGTGGATTCTGTATTTGTGAAATTGCCTACTTCCTAAAATTTATTTGTAACTACAAAACCAACACCCATAGCACTTTCATGGTCCTTAACAGACATGTGCAGAGTACTGGAAAATTTATCTAGCGATGTGTGCCTTTCAGACTGAGTTCAAATGAGGCAACAGCATACCTTCTTATTCCAGCTCTAATGCTATGAATAAGTGTCCTTTTTGTCATTTATTTTGTGCCACGTTTTTCACATTTTTGTGCCTTTTAGTGGTGAGTTCACTGTTGAACACATCCCCTCCCCACCAAGTGTAGAACTGAAGAGCTATCTGGTGTTCCTGAGCACAAGAAAGCTGTGATGTTCCTTCCAGAGAAAATGTGTGTCAGCTTCACTCAGGCTTGCGTTAGAATGCTGTTGGCCTTGAATCCAATTGTGATGAATAACCAACATATTTTAAATAAAATGTCTTTCAACAGAAACACACATAAACCAAAATTTGTATTGAGCAGTTAATAAAATTGTTATGATCAAAGGTTTGTAGAAATTAACCCTGTGTTTCCCCCAGGAGCAGTGGTTTTGTATTTGCTAACTTAATGTTTGCAGGGAGTTTATATAACACAACTATCCTTGAAAGCATGAATCAATTACATGTGGTTCCTTTATTCTTTATAATTGTGTATTTAGAGAAGAGGACTTCTTGCCCCTGGGTTGATGTTTACAATCGTGTAATTTTATGGTCTAAATTAAACTCTCTTCTGGGTTACATCTGTTTTCTATAGACTCTTCTAGTAGTTTTCTATGGTCACTGTAACAAATTATCACAAATTTAGTATCTTAAAATACATACATTTATTAAGGTACAGTTCTGGAGATCAGAAGTCCAAAATGGATCTCACTTGGCTAAAATTAAGGTGTTGTCAGGATTGCCTTCTTTCTAGAGTCTGGTTGCTATGGATTCGTTTCTGGGAGGAGGAGCCTGGTGGGGGCAAGAGGCACGGAGTCACCACACAGACTCCAGGAGTCAGGTGAAAGCAGGCCGGAGGCAAGCAGCCTGCAGACTCGTTTATTTCAGTTGCTACTGCAGCTTATATAGCCAAGGCAGCCAATCTGGTCAAGGGGTGGTCCATGTCCTAAATAATCACACCCTGTTGCCAGGCAGTTTCTGAAGCCATCCAATCACAGCCTGTTGCCAGGCAGACTCTGTTGCCAGTGGCCATCTTGGCATGGCCTTCTCATTCCATCACATTTAGGGAAGACATCTTTGCTAGTCTTGTTCAGTTTGCAGAGGCAACCTGTATCCCTAGGCTCACAGCCACACATCACTCCAACCATTGTTTCCGTCCTCACATCTTCTCAGTCTTGCTTCTGTCTTCCAATTTTAAAGATGTGGCCAGCGCCGCGGCTCACTAGGCTAATCCTCCACCTAGCGGCACCGGCACACCGGGTTCTAGTCCCGGTCGGGGCGCCGGATTCTGTCCCGGTTGCCCCTCTTCCAGGCCAGCTCTCTGCTGTGGCCAGGGAGTGCAGTGGAGGATGGCCCAGGTGCTTGGGCCCTGCACCCCATGGGAGACCAGGAAAAGCACCTGGCTCCTGGCTCCTGCCATCGGATCAGCGCGGTGCACCGGCCGCAGCGCGCTGGCCGCGGCGGCCATTGGAGGGTGAACCAACGGCAAAGGAAGACCTTTCTCTCTGTCTCTCTCTCACTGTCCACTCTGCCTGGGGGAAAAAAAAAAAAAAAAAAAAGAAAAGATGTGTGTGATGAGAGACATCAGCTTCTAGCCCTGTCAATTACTGGCTTTCCATCCCAAATTCACTTAGCTTAACTGTTATGAAAGAAGAAGACATGTTTCTTTGCCTCTTGGAAGAATTGTTGGTTAACTCCTCCCTGGGGGCTCACCAACCCTCCTGTGCCTCTGATGCCCTCACTGTTGTCTTATTTTCTTCTCCTATTTTTAGTCCCCAGAGCCAGGAGGAAACATTTGCATGTCCAGAGAGGAGTTTACACAAAGGATGATGGAGGTTATTGGTTGGGGCTCACAGGAAGAATATGAAGAGCTCTTTGACAGAGTGGATGTGGCCCAGGATGGTTTCATTAACTGGGACAAGCTGACTACATTTGTGCTGTTATCACTTTATGAGAAAGATGAACGGACAAAGGCAACAGTGGTTCCCCAGTGGAAGGACCTGGAATTCCTCCCAGTAAAACATAAGGATACCATTCAAAATGTGATTTTCTTGAAAAGTTCAAGTCGTTATTTGACAATCAGCAAAGAAGGTTTAATTGGAATTTGGGGTGAGAATTTGAAGCTTCAAGAAATATTTCCCATCACTTCAGATGCCACCAAACTCAAACACCTGTGGGTTACAAGCCTGGTTTCTCTGGAAAATGTGAACAAGGTATAAAGTCTTCATTAATAAACTAACTGCCTGTAAAAGTGGGAAAATAATGAGACAGGGCTCCTGATCAATATCAAATATAACACTAGCAGCAACAGAGAACTGCATTACTCTTTTGGTGACTTTCCTTTGACCTAGAGAGAAAATAAGTAGACCCAAGTGAGCTACTCATTTCCCCAGCTCTTCTCTTGGGTACCTTAAATGACAGCACTGATGATGACTAAGATTCTTGACTCTCTCCCAAATGTGGCCATGTGCACTGTTAGCTGATAAGACCTTTGCTCCTCTAGAGTTTACAGCAGGATCATGGATCTATACTCAGAGCTGAGAGCTTTAGAGTGTTTGGCAGAGCTCAACAAAATGAAAGGGAGCTGCTCCTCTGATTTTGTCCAGTGTACTATTCAGTTTCATAGTTCCGATAGTCTGTTCATTCAGTCAAATATTTTCATAAAACTAGAAGAAAGATAACATACTGTAAGGAAGATACTTTTTGAAGTCAGATTGCAGTTTAAATAATCCATATTCTGAATATTTTATATCAAACCAAAATTTTTACTATGAAAATTTCAGACACACATAGAAGCAGAGAATAGTACTAGGAACCTGATATCTGTCCTCCATTATCTGCCCTTCTCCATTTTCTGCCATTATCCATTTTCAATTCACAGTCTTTATTGTTTCATTTAACTCCTCATGCATTGTTAAGATCTAAAACATAAAATCAGTTCATATGTAAATATTTCTAAAGGATGACCTTTTTAGCATAAGTCAATTATACTATCCTCAGTTAATATCAATAATTCCTAATATCATCAAATATCCTGTCATGTACATATCCCTTATTGTCTTATAATTTTTAATAATTTGTTAGAATAAACATCTGAATAAGCTCCAAGTACATATCCCTTATTGTCTTATAATTTTTAATAATTTGTTAGAATAAACATCTGAATAAGCTCCAAGTAAGGTATTGTGAATTGCTGACATGTTTGTTTTCACCTAAATGTTTTCCTTCATGTCTTCTTTTTGTCCTGCAGTCTTTGGTTATTACTGTTGATTTTTTTTTAAAAAGAAACTGTGTGCTTATTCTTGGGAGTTTCCCAAAGTCTAGATATTGTGCTTTGTGTCTACAGGGGGGTTGTTTGACATGTCTGCATGTTCGTTGGGTTTCCAGTAGGTGTTTTTCACTCAGGAGGTACAAAATGCCTGGTTCTTTGTCATCTTGGGATATTAGCAGTTCTTGCAGATTATTCCTTGATCCATCACTTACTAGGGGTACCAGATTATGATATTCTAATTTCATCACTTCTTCTTCCTGTATAAGCTAATTTCATCCTTCTTCTTCCATATCTATAAAAAGAAATTTTCCCCATTAATTAGTTATCACAAGGAGACAATTATTCAACAAAAGCAAGATAAACATTTAATTCTTAATCTTTATTTACCAGTTTTCAAAAAATGAGGAGTTGGTTTTCTAATGTTCTCCAACAATAAACAATGAGTACTATCATTATTATCAATAGAAAAGAAAACTCATCGGTTGCAGAAAAATGTGATTTGTTTCATTCCACTGAATTATTATCGCATGTTACCAAATCGTACCATCTTCAGACAGTAGGAACTAAGATCAGCTTCTGAGTCTTTTTGCAACCCTAGTAGTCTTGGAAAGTGTCTAAGTATGACAAAAAGATCCAGAATTGTCTTGTATATTTCCTATGCATTGCTGAATCAGTCATTTCTGCAAAGTGGCAGGTTGTTTTTTTGTGGAAATAGTATGCTATACTGCCTGGAATCATAAAGAATCATCATAATCACCAACTTCCTTGGTGATACACCCTGTTCTACTAATCTGCTCAAATTGACCATTTTTCCCACTCTAAGAATGTGAGACTGAGCCAAGGGAAGTTGTATAATTTGCCCCAGTCTCAAGGGATATAATGTGTTGTCCAGATTTGAAATCTGAACCTGTGCTTTGGCCTCTGCTGCCTGCATAGTGGCTGCTGCTGATGTATCCAGTTCCTTCTTGCTAAGGATCTGGTGTTAATGCTTAGTGCTTAACTTGCATAGGTTAAAAACAGTTCCAGTCCAGGTTATGCATTTTTATATTTGTACACAGCATTCTATTACTATCATATGATGTTGTGGTGCACTGTTTCTTTTCATGAGACTGATAACTAAATTTTAGCCTTTGCTTTATATGTACCCAACTCTTAAAGAATGTTGCTGTTTTTTCCTTTTAAAAATAGCTTTAAAGAGGTATAATTGCACAAAATACAATGAGCACATTAAAATGTCCCAAGTTAATGATTTTAATACGTGTATGTACCTGTGCAAAATCAACAGTGAAATGTAGATAATGAATGTATTCATCATCCTCAAAAATTTTCTTGCAGCCTCTGGAGCTCCCTCCCTCACTCTCATTCCTCCTGTTGAGCAATTGCTGTTCCGCTGCTTGTCAGTATATATTAGTGTGCATTTTCTAGAGTTTTATGTAATTGCTATCAGATTGTACACTTTTTTTTTTGGTCTGGGTTCTTAGATTAATGATTTTGAAATTTATTCAAGTTGCTGAGTGCATCAGTTTTTATTGCTGTGTAGCATTTCATCATGTGGATATGGTGCATCCTCATCAGTACTTGGTGTGGTCAATTATTTTTTCTCTTAATTTAACCATTTAAAAATGGTTATTGTGGTTTTAATTCATATTTCCTTAATGGCTAATAATGTTGAACATTTTCCCATGCTGATTTGTTACCTGGATATCTTCTTTGATGAAGTGTCTGTTCAAATCTTTAAAAAAATTATTGGGTTTGTTTTCTTCTTGTTTTGAGAGTGTTTGATATATGTATATATATAAGAATATATATATATTCAAAATAAGAAAAAATATATAAATACTGGATACTTTAAAACTATAACATTCCACTATCTACTGTGTTTTTATTCTTTTATTATTATTTAATTTTTTATTATTATTTAATTTTCAGATTTTTTATTATAAAAATATGCAACAGATTTTTTAAAAAGTCATATATTATGCATCCTCGTGAAATTTGTTTATTAAGTTTTTATGTTTTTGTGAATTTTTTAGGTTTTTTTGTAAATAAGTTCATGCCAGTGATGAACAGAGATAGTGTATATAATCTGGATGAGTTTATTCCTTTTTCTTACCTAATATATCTACATAGAAACACCAGTTCCACATTGAATAGAAACGAAGAGAGTGAGAATTCTCATGTTGCTCCTGAACTTAGGGGTAATGTGTTCAAATTTCATGCCTATATATGATATCAGCTCTAGGATATTTGGTGTTACATGCTTGCTGATACCTGCTGGTTATCAGGTTGAAGAAGTTCCCTTCTGGTCCTGATGTGTTGAGTGTTTCTATCATGAAAATGTGTTGGGTTTTGTCAAATGCTTCTTCTTTGCATCTGTTGAATTGACCATACTGTTTTTATTCTTTATTCTTTTTCATTGGAATATTACTTTGATTTTTTAATACATAGAAATTATCTTGCATTTCGGGATAAATATTGCTTGGTTATGCTGTGTAATCTTGGTTGTATATCTCTGTATTCTCTCTGCTATATATATATATATATATATATATTTTTTTTTTTTTGGGACAGGCAGAGTGGACAGTGAGAGAGAGAGACAGAGAGAAAGGTCTTCCTTTTGCCGTTGGTTCACCCTCCAATGGCCGCTGCGGCCGGCGTGCTGCGGCCGGCGCACTGCGCTGATCCGAAGCCGGGAGCCAGGTGCTTCTCCTGGTCTCCCATGGGGTGCAGGGCCCAAGCACTTGGGCCATCCTCCACTGCACTCCCTGGCCACAGCAGAGAGCTGGCCTGGAAGATGGGCAACCGGGACAGAATCCGGCACCCCGACCGGGACTAGAACCTGGTGTGCCGGCACCGCAAGGTGGAGGATTAGCCTAGTGAGCCGCGGCGCCGGCCTTCTCTGCTATATTTTTGAGTATTTTTTATCTATATTCATAAAGGATATTGGTCTGTAGCTTTCTTTTCATGTGTTATCTTCATTTGATTTCAGTATTAGAGTAACATTGGCCTGATAAGTTGATTTGGAAATGCTTCCTCCACTTAAACTTTTTGGAAGAGTTTGAGAAGGAATGGTATTAATTCTTAAAATGTTTGGTAGAATTTTTCAGTAAAGTCACCTAGGCCCAATTTTCTTTGTGAGGAATTTTTTTGCTAATACATTTTTTTAGGTCTGCTGAGATTTTCGAAATCTTTTTGAGTTAGCTTAGGTAATTTTTGTGTTTCTTGCAATTTCCCCTGTTCATAAGGCTATCTAATTTGTTGGTATGTAATTGTTCATAGTATTATCCCACATTTCAGTTTTATTTCTGTAAGGTTGACAGTACTGTCTGCACTTTCATTTCAGATTTTAATATTTTACATCTTTGCTTTTCTTTGTCTTGGCTAGCCCAGTTGAAAGTATGTTAATTTTATCTCTTTTCAAAGAACAAAGTTTGGTTTTATTGATTTTTCTCTATTGCTTTCCTATTCTCTGTTTTATTTATGGATTAGTTTTAATCATTTCCTTCCTTCTGTTTGCTTTGAGCTTAGCTTGCTCTTGTTTTACCAATTTCTTAAAATGAAAATTTAGGTTAGTAATTCGAGATTTTTAAAATATTGTTTTTTTTTTTTATTTTTAAAAAGATTTACTTATGTATTTGGCAGTCAGAGTTAGAGAGAGAGAGAGAGGGAGAAAGAGAGAAAAAAAAGATCTTCCATCTGTTGGCTCACTCTCCAGATGGCCACAACAGCCAGGGCTGGGCCAAGTCGAAGCCAGGAGCCAGGGGCCCTATCCAGATCTCTCACATAGTTGCAGGAGCCCAAGCACATGGGCCATCTTTTACTGCTTTCCCAGGCACATTAGTAGGGAACCGGATTGGAAGTGAAGCAGCCAGGACTTGAACCATTGCCCACATGGGATGATGGCACAGCAGGCACAGCTTTATCTGCCATGCCACAGCAGCAGCCCAGATATTGCTATTTTTACAACTATAATTTTCACTTTGGGCAGTGCTTTTCTTGTTGGTCTTCAGTCCGGTAGTTCCATCCATTATTGAAAGTACAGTACTGAAATTTCAGCAGTTATTGTTGAAATGTCTATTTCTCTCCTCATATCTTTCTGTTCTTGCTGCATGTATTTTGGGTTTCTTTTGGAAGACAATGGCAGGTGTAAATCCTGCCTTGCCAGTAATCATATTAAATTTAATTAGCTTAAGCATTTTGCATCATAGGCGTATTTGCGAGAATTTTTTTTTTCTTATAAAGATGTTTATTTGAAAGACAAAATTACAGAGAGAGAAGCAGAGGCACAGAGAGAGAGAGAGAGAGAGGTCTTCCAACTGATAGTTAACTCCCCAATTGGCCACAATGGCTGGAGCTGTGCCATTCTGAAGCCAGGAGCCAGGAGCTTCTTCTGGGTCTCAACGGGGGTGCAGGGGCCCAAGGACTTGTGCTATCTTCTGCTGCTTTCCCAGGGCATAGCAGAGAGCTGGACCAGAAGTGAAGCAGCCAGGGCTCAAATCGGTGCCCATATGGGATGCTGGCTTTGCAGGCGGTGGCTTTACTCACTACACCACAGTCCAGCCCCAAGAATCGTTCTTTATTTCAATGATTTTTACATTCTTAGTGAAATTATCTTCTTACAGAAAATTCATTTTCACACATTAGCTCTTTCAAAATATTTGTAGTAGCCAACTTAAAAATCTTTGTTTAGTAAATCCACTAAGTGGGCTTTTACGGGAATAGTTTCTACTGACTGGTTTTTCAGTTGTTAAGTCATTGACCTTTTTATATAACCCTTAGGATTTTATCTGACTTAAAATAATTCTACTTGGAAGTTTTTTTATCAATTGATTTTGTGAAAGCCCTGTTTGCTTTGTGGAACGTGAGTTGTACAGTTTCTGGTAGGACCTGTGGTGCTATAGTGCTCTGTTTCTGTCTTTCTTGTGATTAATCATCTAGTCTGTCGCAGATGGATTGTGTTGATGGGTGTGTAAAGTGGAGGCCAGGGCAGAAAAGATGCTCAAATGCTTTTAATGGGAAAGATTTCTCCTTGGCTAGAGTCCAAGGTCAGAATAAAGTAGATTTGTGCCATCTTTCTGTAGTTCTGGAATAGTGGGACATACCCTCAGGGAACAATGTCTGACTTGGCAGTTAGAGCTGTATGTCTGCTTTGCATACTGATTTCATTAAACTCACCAGCAATGCTTTTGGATTTCTCCCTGCTTCCTTAGATAGCAGTGGCTTTCACAAGTAAAGAGATTTGTTTCTATGATCTGCTGTCCAAAGAAGAATTTTCTTGTCAATACAAACTCCAAGGCCTGAAAGGAGCACCAATTTACCTGCATTATTGGTATGATCCTCTAGATGCCAATGAATCCATTCTTTCTTTTGGGGATATAACTGGAATGGTAAGTGAACAACTTGTAATATTGAAGACTATAGATTTAAATTATCAATATGGAGCTTATAATAGAATGCAATGTGTGTGTCCTCCTAATTGAACTCCATTATGGATTATAAGGTCACATATGTTGGAAGGGAAGAGATGGATTATGTTATATTCCTCATCTTGCTTATACACTAAAATCTTTATTGTGTGTGATACTTTTGTTTTTGGTTTGTGTACATATAGTATAATTCTCCTCAATTAGTAAATCTTACTAACTTTTCACCATAAGATGTTTAACCACTAGATCTCAATATTGCTTTTATTTAATATTAAATGTCAAAATTTCTGTCATAAATCTTTCAGATGAATTGTTTTGGTTCCCATTCATAAAGTTTTCAATTTCTTAGTACCAGGCTCATAGGGAGCACTCAGATTTCCTGTATCATGTCATACAAAGATAGATGAATTAGTGAGGGCAGCATTGGGACCTGGACATTGGATACAGTAATTTCTATTTTCCTATCACATCCCACCTGCCCTGTGAAAAATTATTACTTACAGGATGATACTAGAAGATGCCTGAGACCTCTGCGGTAACCTCAGTTGAATAATTTCTTTTCATAATTGTGGAAGCTTTTCATTCTTACTGATCTTAATGATAAGTGAATCTTAACAGCAAGTAATAAGCTCACCTTCATAATTGCCTTACCAGTCCCCTAGTTGTTCATCTTTTAATACAAAACTGCCTGTATCCTTTAAAAATATTAAAGAAACTCTTAATTCAATATTGATTCCTTCTTAAGAAACAGAACTTCTTTAACAATTGCCCTGCCCATGTTGTTTTTCTTTCAATGACTCCCAAGGTTCAAGCCATTGTGTTCACAGCAGCCTCAATTTCCCTGTTTGAGCGTCCTGCTAGTGCGTGTGAAGATGAAGAAGCCACCATGACTATTAACTGGGCAGAACTGCTCTCTGGATGTCACAGATGTTGCCATGTATTACAGCACAGACTTCACCATGGAGACTGGGTCAGGCAAGGTACTGAATGTGGACAGTAATGAAAGAAAATGGTCACCTTCAACTGCTACATTTATGTTCTTTGATGAAAATGTTTTACACAAACCGTTTAACTCTGGAAGCCAATAATTGGCTCTCGGGAGGTTTTGGCCTGGAGTCTCTGCTATTCTCTGAACACTGGCAAAAAGTCTTTTTTTTTTCATTCCCCGTAAAATTTATGCCTCATAAAATTAATTCAGGCGAACTATGCACTCAAGAAATCTCCAAAGAAGGGAGAAAATTGTCCAAGAATCCATTTAGATTCAACCCAAGTGTGACCCTAACTAATATTATGTGGTCACATTCAGGTTCTTAATAAAAGGATTTAATAAGTTCACTCAAAACCTTGCTTTGTTTTCTATATGTTCTTATGATAAGTAAATTAGTCTGGCTGCCACAAAATGGAATCATTGTTATTTCTTTTCCTTTTCTTTTTCTTTTTGATATATAACAATTCTTCTAATCTATACTACTTAAGCAACAGTTCTTTCATTGATAATATTCATGTTATGAATCAATGCATGTAGATTATCAGAACTTCTCTTACAATGTATTAACAAATGAATTAATTAGTCTTATAATATGCCATAACTTTACAGAATCTGTATCTGATGGTTCGTGATCCAAATGTGCAATATCCGCTCTAATATCTTGCGCCAATGCTAAAGACAATAGTCTTCTCACTTCCAAATTGCTCCATTAACAAAAACCCCCTTAAAAGAATGGAAAGTAGCAATCTCATTGATTTTAATTAGATTTAGTGAGACTTATGTAAATTACCTATTTCTAAAATAGTTTGAAAGAAAGTCAGTCCAAATGGATCTGGCCAGTGGCCTTTATGGTACTTTTGCTTTCTTTGTATTTCAGAAGCTTAGAACTAATTTTATGATGTATGACTGTAACACTATACTATCCTACATGAGACACTGTACATTCTGCAGCTTTTTCTACAATATAAACCATATCATGTCTTTGATACCTTTTATCCATGCTATAATTCCATCATGATAATTGTGGGAAAAACCAAAGATATGTTTTTTTGTCATCTACTAAGTATGAAAGGCACAAAATTATGTATAAGTTTTCATAACTTTGACATCAGACTCATATCACTGGATATAGACTGAATGGAATTATTGAAGCTGCTTCCAAAAAAGCATTACGTGTGGATACATAAGCCAAAGATTAGGCTATAATAACAAAGTAGTATTTCATGACATCAGTTTCTAGTGGATTTTCTGAAGTCGTGCACATTGTTTAATTTCCATGATCTTAAATTAGTATGAATAAATCAGAGAAGTAGCCTAAAGAATGATTTTGAAAAGGTTGAGGAGGCTGGCGCCGTGGCTCAATAGGCTAATCCTCCGCCTTGTGGCGCCGGCACACCGGGTTCTAGTCCCGGTCAGGGCGCCGGATTCTGTCCTGGTTGCCCCTCTTCCAGGCCAGCTCTCTGCTGTGGCCCGGGAGTGCAGTGGAGGATGGCCCAAGTGCTTGGGCCCTGCACCCCATGGGAGACCAGGAGAAGCACCTGGCTCCTGCCTTTGGATCAGCGCAGTGCGCCGGCTGCAGCGCATTGGCCATGGCAGCCATTGGAGGGTGAACAAACGGCAAAGGAAGACCTTTCTCTCTGTCTCTCTCTCTCACTGTCCACTCTGCCTGTCAAAAAAAAAAAAAAAAAAAAAAAGGTTGAGGAAATAAATAAGATTTTAAAGATGAGTAACATCTTAGTGCCTTCTTTTATACTTGGAGAACAAATGAAAAATTCTCACTCAGCCTCCCAAAATCCAACCCTACTAGTGAAGTAACCTGACAATGAACATTTGTCTCTTTAAGTGGCAGCATAAGAATTGTTCTCTAGGTCAACGTGAGTTCACTATTCATCAGGTTTCATCATGTTTTGCTGTTTGGTTCCCTCATCTACTGACAAAAGAATGTGGAAACTTAGTTTAGCATCAGCAGCACACATTCATGTTTATAATCTAAAGAATCTAGTTTCAGAGTCTGATTTCCAACTCACTGCAAGTTTGGATCTAGGTGCAAAACAGTCATACAGGAGATTGTTTCAAGAAAGCTAGACAAAGTTTTGGCAGTAAACACTCAGGAGATGTTTACCAGGGAGTCCTTCTCTGCTATGACAATGCTCCTACTAACTCCTCTCATCAAACCAGAGAAGTTAGTAATAGTTTTGACAAGAAGTCATTAGGCATCCACCTTACATCCCTGATTTGGCTTCTTTTGACTTCTTTTTTCCACGAATATTAAAATGTCTTTTAAGGGAATTTATTGTTCTTCAGTTCATAATGTAGTAAGACAGCTCTACATGGTTAAATTCCTGAGACTCACTCAGTTCTTCAGGGATCAGCTTAAATGGCTGATATCATCACTTCCAAAAGTGTCTTGAATTTGATGGAGCTTATGTGAGAAATAAAATTTATACTTTCTATTTCATATCATATTCATTAAAATCTTTTTGAAGTCACCTCATAATCAGATGTTATGATTCTTAGGCTTTCCAGAAAGTCATCAAGCAAAATAAATGTCTAAGCTGTTGCCGGGATCTTTGCTGTTGAGTAGTCCACCTTCACTTTGACTGGACCACTTCCACCTCTTGTTAACCATTGCTTTCGTTGTGTTTTGTTTTCAGAAATGTACTGGTAAAGCCACCTTTCATCTCCTGTTTTAATTCTAAGAAATGCCTCAGGATCATGATCCTACTTATTTATAAAATTTCCAATGAAAATTTTGCTCCTGTCTGTAGCTGATCTGGACACAAAAGTTCAGTATTCATCAAGCAGAAAGTTCTCTCCACTTTAATTTTTCAGGCATAATTGTGTAAGCTGAATCAGTTGAGTGTCTGCATTGTTGGCCATTGGTTCTACTGAAAATCATCAGGATTAACTTTTTTTTTTCCTTAAAAATGTATAGACTATATTGTTGCTTCAATATCATCTCAACCTTTCTGTAGGAGTCATCTATTTGTAAACTGCTGATTTCTTTGGGACATTGTCCTATAAACTATGTGTAAAATATCAGTGATTTTCCTATTCTTCTACACAAGCTTTTCCATAAATTTTATGACTGTTCTTGCTTCAGTTTTAGCAGAACTCATGTTGTTATAATAGGGGCTCCTTTCAAATTCCTATCTTATTTTTAATGCCTCAAATCAAATCTTTTATAGATGTATCATAAAAAGCTAATGTGAGTTTATTCTGGTGGAAAAATTTTGAAATACATACTTTTTTTCATAATATGCATTTCCACTAATTTTAAAGACACCTCCTTTATATTTACCTTAGCCTGTTTATTTGAATTTTGGGCTTGATATATCAATCACTCAACAATTATTTGTTGACCTTTTATGACTTAAAACTATCCAAGGCATTTGAAACTGTAGAATACAGATTAATTATAGGGCCCAACCTTCAAGAAACTCAGTATCTGAAAGAGAATTAAGGGCTAATATAAAAGAACTTATTAGAACATTGTACAATGCTATTGAAACCTAACTATTGAACCATGTAAATAAGATTTTGAATTTTATAGTTGTTCTTAGGGGAAGAACCATTTTTGTAAGAATTTATTTATTTACTTGAAAGTCAGAGAGACAGATAGGCAGAGAGAGAGAGAGAAGGTGTTCCATCCCCTGGTTCACTCCCCAAATGGAGGCAACAGCTGGAGCTGAGCTGATCCAAAGTCAGGAGCCAGGAGCTTCTTCCAGGTCTCCCATGCAGGTGCAGGGGCCCAAGGACTTGGGCCATCTTCCACTGCTTTCCCAGGCCTTGACAGAGAGCTGGATGGAATGTAGAGCAGCCGGGACTTGAACAAGCACCCATATGGGATGCTGGCTCTGCAGGCAGCAGCCTTACCTGCTATGGCACAGTGCCGGTCCTGATGAAAAACACTTAAAGAAGGTTTATTTGGTAGTTCTGTTGAGGACAGATTAGAGGAGAAGTTGCAATCAGACTGGCTAATTAGAAGGATTTTTATAAACAGAAAAAGGTCAAATGATGAAACAAGAATGGAAGCAAGAATCTTTTAGAATCTGAGGTTTGAAAATGTGGAATGATGACTCATCTTAGAACAGCCTACAAAAATACCATTGACTAGGTAAGGAATTCTCTCCTTCAGCTCACAGGACCCCATCCGGACCCGACACTGTCTCTTCCCAGTGTATCGTCACAACTTCGACTTCTGGAGAAGTCTCAGATTCTGCCACCAAAGAGGAGTTCTTTCTTGTGAACATCAGTGCTGACACTGCCCTTCCCATTTCACTTCACCTCGTATTAACCTCTCAATTTTTCCTAATTCAGGGCAGCTCTTCCTTGCTTTATTCGTAAGGTTTTGGATTTTGATTTTGCTCCTGGATTCTCCTTTGAAATCTTGTTTTCAGAAGCTACTCAAACTGTGACAAAATCCTACCAATTTTGGTACCTACATTAGAATTTGTGTTCTGTCTGTCACAGCTTCCCAAACATAAAAGGAAATTTGGATATCTCACATGCAAATGACATTTATATATAAATAAAAAGTTAAAACATCCTTCTTAGTGCAGGCAAAACATCCTTTATTCTCTTAAGTGTTCATACATAATGTGTAATACATTATGCTACAAGATTTTACTGTTTTGTTGATTTTAAGCAATTTGTTTACAGTGTACCTTAATTTTTCTTGGAGGGCATATGTGTGTGTCATTTCATTAAAATTCTTGGATATATGGATCTATTATTTTCATGAAATTTGAAAAATTTTCTATTGTTATTTTTCAAAGTTTTCTGTCCCCTACATTTCTCTGTGACTCTAATTATTTGCCTTTTCAGAACTCAGTCCCACATCTTCCACCTACTTTTTCCTCTCCAAACTCTGGTCTTCATGTTCTCAACTCAAGAAGTTGCTAGACTCAGTGTAGTTTCCTTCTCCAGAGACCCATAGCTGGGAAATATCTTCTAAGAAAGTGTAGGGCTCCTTGTAGAGCTCACCTCATT